GGGCTGAGAAACCCAGCCTGTCAGAATGGTCTGTGACTTGGAAACAAGGAGGGTGGGTGTATCTAGTCACTGATTCCTCAAACACTTGTGGAACATCTATTATGTGCACTCATGTAAGTCTCTCAGCAACCCTGGAGTAAGAATTGCCACTCCACTGCACAGATGTGGTAACAGAGGCCCTGAAATGCTGGGACACATTCCCATGTCAGGCAGCTGGAGCATGGAAATGTGAATCTGGGCTGTGAGGCTCTGAATAGTACTTTTAACTCTACATAAACAATCTTATGAAACAAAGAATCAACAGAATCAATAAAAGGCCTGGCTCAGGGAAGCAGGAGAGACTTAAGTTGGAAGGTTCTAGAACATTGATATCCATTTGTGGTGGCACATCTACTGCCATCCTCATCCATGGTTCTGTTTTGCTCTCCCTTGGCTGGGAGTGAGCTTTTTCCTTCACGTCTGTGCCTTCCCACCAGGTGTCCATGTCCCCTTCTGTTTGGGCAGAGTTCCCAGGTGTCTAAGACAGAGGTTATGCAAAGGGGTTGTCCAAAGGAGTGTCAAGGGCTCTCCCCTCAATTCTTCCCACTCTTCTCTGTAGTCTGGGCCCTACCACCTCCTCCCAATCCTGGTGTCTCTGTGTCAGGGAGCAGGAATTTTTTTTTTTTTTTTTTCAAATTTTATTGTGATTTGGGTGAAAGTTTACAGAGAAAAATTCATTTTCCGTACAGCATATCATACACATTTTATTTATTTGTTTATTTGTATTGTTCAACCAAACAATAGAAACAAAACAAGCCCCAAGAGTGAGTTCTGTTCCAGACCTAAGGTTAACTAAGGGCCATAGTCTCAGGGGTCTCAGCAGGCTCTATCAGACCGACAAACATGGTCTTTTTTTTTTTTTTTTTAATGGTTTTGAGTTTTGTTGTACATTGTTCTACCTTATGCAGGATCTCCTACATAGTTCCCCCTCCAAGTGGTTGACAGTGGTAGCCGGGCGCCATCTAGTTCTTCTGGTCTCATAGTAGTATAGGCTGAGGACCACATGGTCTTCCAGTCCCTTGGACTAATTGTTTCCATGCATCTTTGTTCTTTTCCATTCTTCTTTGCTCTGGACGAGGAGAGACCCATCGTTGGATCTAGATGACTCTTGAAAGCTTTTAAGATCCCAGTCACTACTCACCAAAGTAGGATATAGAACAATGTTTTGTGTAGTACATTATGCCAGCTGAGCTTAATGTCCCCTGCTGCCATGGTCCCAAGCCCACAGGTCCAACTACTCGCTCCCTCTGGGTAGCTGGCTGTGGCTAAGAAGCCACCACAACCTTGTCCCTTGTCAGCTCTACTATATACCCAGACATTCTTACAGCTCATACAAATATGCATGTAGAAACATTGTCTGCTAACCCTATACATGCTCATGTTCACACTCCCCCATGCCTTGACATAACTGATCATTCAGCCTGTCCACCCATCCACCCACTCCTAGATCACTGCTCACCATCACTGACAATGCAGTACTGTACAGCCAAAAAGGTTCATCTTTGATGTCTATACCTCCCATGTACCATTCTGTGTCGTCCTGTTCCTCAGTGCCACCATATTGATCACTCACTTTTGGGAGCAGGAATCTTTGCTGGGTAAGCAGGTCCATTCTAACCATCTGAAGCTCAGACCTGTGGCTCCCTTGGGGTTTTGTTTTGACTTTGGGGCATGTTCAGGGAGAAGAAACTGCCTTTGGGTACCAAGGAGCAGCGGAGGAGGCAGGAAACACACTGAGGATAAGTGGGGCAGAGTTGTCACCCAATGAATGAGTGG